CTGGAGTTTCGACCTGGACTCAAACTGGTATCGGGACCTGAATTTTTATTGGTTAGCCTTAATTATAGCCTGGCATAATCATGTACTATCTTTTCTGGTGATCACATCATCGCTTCCATCAGTGTACTCGTGTCAGTGGTGCTATGTGGATCAAAATTGAGATTGTAAAATAAAAAATTTGTCATTAAAAAAGAAGACAATATATTAAGCAGTCTCCAGTGGTTCACACCTGTAATCACAGCTACTCAAGAAGCAGAGATCGGGAGGATCACGGTCAGAAGCGAGCCCCATGCAAACAGTTAGCAAAACCCTATCTCGGAAAAAAAACCCATCATAAAAAAGGGCTTTTGGAGTGGCTCAGCAAGCATGAGGTTGTGAGTTCAAACCCAAGTACTGCCAAAAAACCACAACATATCAAGATGTCAGTTCTTCCTAAGTTGGTTTATAAATATAAAATGATTGTAATATAATACTATCAGGTTATTTTAAGCTGGAAAATAAACAAAAATAGCTAGTTAAATTAAAAAAAAAGAGAGAAGAAATTAGCACCAACAGAAATTTTAATATATTATACTTCCTCAGTAATTACAACTGTGTAGGTGGCCATGGCGCACACCCATAGTTCAAGGTACTAGGGAGGATGAGGCAGGAGAATTGTTGGAGCCCAGTCCGGGTAACACAGCAAGACCCTGTCTCAAACAAAATTAAATATAACTAAGTAGTTATAACTGTGATGTTGATGATAAAGATAAAGACAGACCAGTAGACTATGTTTAAAAGAATCCATAAAAATACCCCAGGAATTTAATATATTATGAACCACTGATGAAAAGATGAACAATTTAACAAATTACAACTGTGCTATAGTTGATGTGGTTCCTTTCCTCCAAAACTCATGTTAAACTTGGCCCCTGGTGTAACAGTGGGTCATAGGACCTTTAAGAGGTATTGAGTCAGGAAGATTCTATCTTCATGAAGGGATTAATGCTGGGAATGCTTAATTCTTTCAGGACTGGGTGAGTTCTTACTTTCATGGAACTCCTTAGTTACCTCCATACTGGCTTATTTCACAAATTTGGCTTCTCCTGCAATCTCTTGCTTCATCTTTTACCATGTGACCTCTTCCATCCTTCTGCCATGTTATGACACAGGACAAGACCCTTACCAGGAGCCAAGCAGGTGTTAGTGTCATACTCTTTGACTCTAGCCTCTAAACTGTAAGCCAAAATAACCTCCATTCTTTATAAATCACCAAGTCTCAGGCATTCTGTTATAGCAACAGAAAATAGACTAAGACATTGGAATCATTTTTAGCCTTCTGGGGAAAAAATTATTCTGGATCTACACTTAAAACTCATACCAGAATAAATTCCATATGGCTTGAAAACTTAAATATGAAGAAAAAGCCATAAAAGTTCTAAAAGAAAATATGGAAGACTTTATAAAACTCAGTGGGAAAAGCTTTATAATCCTGAGTCAAAATACAGAAGGAATAAAACATTGATATATTTTATTATGAAAAATAAAACCTCTCTGGGACAAAAATTACCATAAGCAAAGGCAAATGAAAAAATGAAAAAAATCTCTATCAGAAAAGAAAATAATCTTTATAATACATACCACGCTTATATGAAATTGGTTTAAAAAAGAACAATAACCTAAGAGAAAACAGGACAAGTGACAGAAGAAGAAATACAATGTCCCTTAATTATATGAAAGGATGCTTGGCCTCATTTATAAAAATAAACCTCTATTCTTTGTTGTTGTTTTTTGGTAGTACTGAAGTTTGAACTCAAGCCTTACACTTGCAAGGCAGGGGCTCTACCACTTGAGCCACATTGCCAGCCCAATAAGCCTCCATTCTTTATAAACCACTCGGTCTCTGGTGTTCTGTTAACACAACAGAAAACACACTAAGACACACTGGAACAATTTTAGTCTTCTGGAAAAAAATGATGCAGGATTTACACATCCAACCTTGTAACAGGATAAATCCATATGGCCCAAAGACTTAAATATGAGACAATATAAACACAAATTAAAACTACATTAATGTGTCATTTCTGCCTTTCATCTTACCAATAATCCAAAACTTTGGTAACATTGACAGTGCTGTAGGAAAACCTCTCAATCACTGCTCTCTCTGCACTGGCACAGTCAGTGAGCGCTGACAGGAACAGAAAGTGGCACAAGCTGGGAGGCAATGTGACAATGACTCTCAAAGTTAGAAAAGCTTCTAATCTCTGCCCCAACCATTTCAATTCTGGGAATGTGTCCTACAGGTACACTTGTACATGATCAAAACGCAATAGTTACATGGTGAGTCACTGCAGCACTGTTTGTAATACCGAAAGATTAGAAAAATGTCCATCAGTAGAAGAGAGCTAAAGAACTTATGCTGCATCCACAAGATGGAATGCTAACAACTGTAAACAAGGATGAGAAAACACAATATGGCTATAATGCACAATTAAGTTAAAAAAGCAAAGTATAGGTCTAGCGGTGTGGCTCAAGTGGTACAGCGTATGCCTAGCAAGTGTGAAGTCCTGAGTTCAAACCCATAAAAAAACTATATCTATATTTATCTATCTATCTATATCTATCTATTGAACTGAGCTCAAACCCTAATAAAAAAAAATCAATCTATCTATCTATCTATCTATCGGTACAGATATGAAAGGTGAAAAGTAACCAGAAAGTCTGAAAGGATTAGCAAGAAACCTATGACAGTGGTTGCCAGTGGGGTTTGGGAGACAGGAGATAGTATGGGAAGGAAATTTACATGGTATACTTTTTAACATTTTTTGAGTTTTGAATCATATGAATCCATTTAGCTATAAGCTTCTTAAAAGTTTGTCAAATAAGTCAGTGAAATATTAATTATTGCATTGCTTTTAACCAGATCTAGCCTATAATTCAATATTAAACTATCCTAGGAGCTCCCAAAATGATGAAAGTCAGTGTCTCAACTTAAATCAATATTCATGTGCCACAGGTAACTAGTTGGCTTTCCATTGTGAAAAGTAAAGAAGTTGTACTTTTACTGAGGAGAAGAAGAAAGGTTGGAGGGAGGTGTTCCAGGATAACAGCTCTTCCATTTCTGTTGCAATCGTCAGTCTGGTTAAATGGCTTAATGCAGTGATGATGGCAGGAATGGAAAGGAAGGAACAGTGACTTGAATGGGAAATAAATGCATGGGCTTCAATGTTCATTGGCTGTGGCAGGCCAGAAAGATATTAAGAAACAACAGTGCCCTTTTTTTTTTCCCCAGTACTGGAGTTTGAACTTAGGGCCTCGAACTTGGCGCTCTACTACTTGAGCCATGTCTCCAACCCTTTACGCTTTAGCTTATTTTCTAGGCAGGGTCTTGTACTTTTTTGCCCAGGCTAGCCTTGAACCATGATCCTCCTACCTACACCTCCCAAATAGCTGGAAATTCATGCATGCACCACCACAATAGGCTTATTTGTTAAGATGGGGGGGTCTCACTAACTTTTTTGTCTGGGCTGGCTTTAAACTTGGATCCACCTATCTCTACCTCCAGAGTAGCTGGGATTACAGAGGTAAGCCACCATACCCAGGCCTAACAATGTCTTTTACAGCCTAGGTGTTCAATGGTGTCACTAATAGAAATTGCGAAGTCCAGAAAAAGAAGTGGTTTAATAGAAAAGCAATGAGTTGGGTTTTATGTACATTTGAGGTAAGTGGGAAATCAGGTAGAGGAGACCAGGCCACTGGATATACTGATCTGACACTCAGAGAGGCAGAGAAGATAGAGGCATAGGAAATATACACAAATAATAATTAGGCTATTAGCAGGGATGAAGCGGCTCAGAGGAAAGAAGGCTGAGATACAAACTGGAGGATCATCCATGATGGGGGAGCAGGATGAGAAGAAGTCAGTGTTACAGAGCATTACGGGAGGATTAGGAGAGCCTGATGGCACATTAGCCAGACTGGGGAGTTTTGAAGACACAGTGAAAGGCTGGCAGAGTGGCTCAAGTGGTAGAGTGTCTGTCTAGCAAACATGGGGCTCTAAGTTCAAATCTCAGTACTATTAAAAAAAAAAAAGATACAGCGAAGGGGATTAAAGGGCCAAGGGACAATAAAAGTGACAATCTACATTATCTCATTTAGTCCTCACCCACTGTATCCAGTCAGTAGGCGGTATTATCTTACCCATTTTACAGGAAATGGTATTAATCTGGAGAGTGACTCCACAGCTGCAAGGAATAACTTCCAGAGATCAGAATTCTAATACTAATTTTATTCATTTTTTTTCTTTTTTGGTTTTTGGTGGCACTGGGGTTTGAACTCAGGGCCTTGTGCTTGCTAGGCAGGTGCTCTACCACTTGAGCCACTCTGTCAGCCCCTCTAATACTAATTTTAGCACTAAATTAGCTATATGTCCACGAACAAGTAACTGGCCCTTTCTAGGTTTAATTTCCTTCTCAGCAAATTGTTGTTTTCGGTGATGCTGGGGTTTGAACTCAGGGCCTCACACTTGCTAGGCAGGTGCTCTGCCACTTGAGTCATGCCTCCATTCTCCTCAGCAAATTGAAAGGATTGGTATTGATCATATTCAGTTCCGAGTAACATGAGTCTCTGTTTAAGAGAGAAATACATATACAAGAGAGGCAATGAATTAAAATTTCAGCCCACATTCATTCAGAAGGACACGCTGTATCTCTTTAAGAGATTAATCAAAATAAAAATGGCATTAAAAAATTAACAATAAGTGAACAGGGAGAATTGGCCAAGAATTTCAGAACACTTAATGCTTTAAGGAGTGAATTTTCAAGCAATAAATCTGTTTTCTGAAATATAAAAACTACAGTTACAAAATTCTACTTTTTATGTGCATACTTAAGTCATGTATAATATCAAGAATTAAAATTTTTCATACCTAGGTAGAGGGTGACAATCGGTAGTAGAATATCTGTTTTGCATGCTCAAGGCCCTGGATTCAACAACCCCCCCCAAAAAATTTTTTTTCATACCTGGAAATTTATGAATGCTGTTCTTGAACCTCTGCTTAAGTAAGCTGAACAGAGAAAAAAGGGGAAGATTCCAAGTCAAACACAGTCCACGTAGGGAATTGTCCTGTGGAGAAAAAGAATACCTATTTTTCATGCACTTCTGTAATACAAGACCAAAATATCTGCTGAAGTACATGCATGGTGGGCCACACCTGTAATCCCAGCACATGGGAGGTTGAAGCAGGAAGATTGTGAGTTCCAAGATAGCCTCCTCTCAAAAAACCTAAATAAATAAGTAAATGTTTACTTATGTAAGTAAATTATATGGAAGCATCTCTAGGAGATCATTTTTCAGCATGTAAAAATAGATAATCTCATACAGATTATTAGTTAAAAAAAAAAAATATATATATATATATATCGTTTGGGAGCTGGGTGTGGTGGCTCATGTCCACGTCCATAATCCCAAGCTACATGGGAGGCTGAAATCAGGAAGATCAAAATTCCAGGCCACCCCAAGCAAAAAAATGCAAAAGATCCCATTTCGAAAAAAGGCTGGACACAGAACCTGTCATCCCAGCAAACAGTAGAAGCATAAATAGGACAAGGGTCCAGACTGGCCTGGGCAAAAAGTAGGACCCTATCTCCAAAATAACCAGAAAAAAAAAAGGACTAGAGACATGACTCAAGCAGTAGAGCACCTGCCTAGCAAGCACAAAGCCATGAGTTCAAACCCCAGAACCACCAAAAAAAAAAAAAAAAAAAAAAAGAAGAAGAAAAATGGCCTCAAATTATCTTGGAACCCTTTTTAAAGAAATTAAGTTTTAAACTCTTTTGTTTTCTTTCTTAAAAATTTATTTGGGAGGGAGGAGGTTAACAGGGTCCCAGCCTCAGCTCTCCAGTGCTCTAAACTCTAAAAAGAAACATTTGTATAGGGCTTGGGAATGGCTCACGTGGTAAAGCGTCTGCCCAGCAAGGGCAAAGCCCTGAGTTTAAACTCCAGTACCACCAAAAAAATAACACAAAGAAACATTTCCTTATTTAAATTATATTTATAATATATCTGTGTTTTAGTTCAATCTAAACATAACAGTTTGCAAGAAAAGCTTTCCATATTAAATATGTTACAGCAAATTAAAAGCAAACCTACTTTTTGCTTATCAGGCAGGTGCTCTACCACTTGTGCTATGCCTCCAATCCTTTTTTGCTCTGATTATTTTTGAAATAGGATCTTGCTTTTTACACAGGTTGGCCTAGACTGAAATCCCCCTCTTTTATGCATCCCATCATAACTGAGGTGATAGGCTTGCACTACCACATCCAGGTTTTTACTGTTGAGATGGGGTCTTGCAAATTTTTATTTATTTATTTATTTATTTATTTATTCATTCATTCATTCATTTTGCCTGGGCTGGCCTGGGACCTTCATCCTCCCAACTCAGCCTCCCAAGGAGCTTGGGATGACAGCACATACCACCGTGCCCAGTTATTGGTTAAGATGGGTTATCAAAAACCTTTTGCCCAGGCTGATCTCATCCTGTGATCTTCCCAATCTCCATCTTCCAAGTAGCTAGGATTACAGATGTGAGCACCAGCGTCCAGCTTAAAAGAAATTTCTTAAGAAAACAGACTTCAAAGGCAAGCCAGTACCTGATACCAAGACAGCAAGCAACATTTAGTCCTAGTGCCCTTTTCCTTCCACGGCATCAATGTGATATGCAAGAAAATCAAATAGAAAAGCTTTAAAGATTGCACTTGAAACTTCAACATATCTTAAAAGCTATTCAGTTAAAACAGAAGTGTGTGTTGGGGGGCGGATCCTAGTACATAATGTTCAGAAAGTCCACTGTTGATGTTACTGGAACCAGCGATGTGCCAGGGAGGAGGTCTCCAAAAGGGAAGAAGCCTCTGCCTGGCCCTTGGGTACCAAGTTTGTGATGTCACTAAAAAGAATTTTAGGACACATCAAGGTAGAGATCAAGAAAGTTCATTAGTAAAGCAAAGCAAAGGAAACATAGAAATAGTACACAACCCAGACATGGGTGCAGGCACATCTGATAACAGGCAGAATGAGTGCTCTAACATCAGGGTATTTACGGTGAAAAAGTAGGTTGGGGGTTTGGCTCGAATTTACCTTAGGAAAAGTGCTCCTCTTGGTCCTAACACCTGGTATAATTATCCATTTTTGCTATAATACTGCCTTACCAGTTGGACCCAAGATTTCAAAGTTGGCCCACTCATTAGATATAGGTCACTATGAAATAGATGTTTGGAGATCCTGTTAAACAAAGGATGGGTCCTACCAGATGCTCTCTTCAAGACCGGTGTCCATCCTCAAGATAAGTACTTCCCTTTATAGAATCATTTTGCCGAGAGTCCCCCACCCTCCCCCTTAAGTGTCTTTCTTTAAGATATTCTTGCTCAGTTTTCAGAGCACACTAATCATTTTGGGGAAGTGGGCAAGGTCAAAGGATGAGAGCTGTTCTCCCCCCGTTTTTTTTCTTTTTACTAAATGTTGCAGCTTATTGAGGGATATAAGGCTTAATGCAAAGAAAACAGAGACTGTATGCTTTAAATCGAGGCATTTATTAATGCAGTGTTTATATCTGAATTCCTGGCTGCTGTTTCCCAAGCCTCAATTTCCCTGATCTATCGTGCTTCACAGACACACAGATCTTTTATAACTCTCCATTTGCCAGATTGAACCAGAGTGTACCACAATTTGCTACAGCAGCTACAATGACTTCTGTCATTTTAAAAAGCAGTTCCAGTTTCTACTGTATTCCAACCTTTCCAGAAAGAAAAAAAAAAAATCTGTTCAACTACCATTTTCATTGACCATTATTTTGTTAATGTAGGGAATAATTTTATTTCCACAGGCAATAGAAAACTGAATTTGATGTTTGTGAAGCCAATTAATTAAGCTAAACTTGCCACCAAATTTTTAATTTTTTTTTTTTGAGACATGATCTTACTATGTAGCCCAGGCTGGCTGCAAACTCCCAAACCTCCAGAGTGCTAGGATTACAAGTTTGTGCAACTATGTCTGACAAAATTAAGTTTTTAAGGACAATTTCTTGCCATACCAAAAGCTCATCTGCCCTAACAAGCTAGGAGGGCCCTCAGTGAATGGAGTTACTCTTACAGCTTCACAACTTCTCCAGTACTACTTAAGAGCACATTAACTGGTCCAGTACTGGGTCTGTTCTGGGACTGGCAAATGCTAATTCTGTAGCAATTTAAGAGATGGATTTCTGAAAACAGTCTGTGCCCTGAACAGTTTGTACATGGTGATGAGATGTCATTTTTAGGGACAACCAACAAGTTATAGATATCAGAGTAGGTTTCTGAATTCACACTCAACATCCTTTCCAACTTCCTTCTGGAAAACTAAAAAATGTGTTTCCCAGACTCCTTTGCAGTTAAGTTTCCCCATATGAAATGGGGCCCATCTATGAGGTGTTCTGTGAGATCTGAAAGGCAAAAATTAGGCAAGAACCATCTTTTTACTGTTTGGGCTGTTAATTCTGGCAAGCACATTTATGGAAGCTTTCTAGTGTCAAGAGCTTCATGGCTGTGCTGGAGGCATGGTTCAAGTGGTAGAGTACCTGCCTAGCAAGCACAAGGCCCTGAGTTCAAATGCCAGCACTGCCAAGGGGGGGAAAAAAGAGATTCATGGTTGTCAAGAGATAATACATGATGTGTGCATGCATGGAAATATTACAGCAAATCCCATTAATTTGTACAATTAATATGTATTAATAATTATTATGATAATTTAAAAAAGAGAGACAAGCATGGTGGAGGCAGCAGTCCCTATTTGGTGGGTGCTGAGTGGCAGCTGAGAGGTAGTTTCTTGATGTTTGAATTGCAGCTAACAAGATCACTGTCAGGCAGCCTCCTGATTCCCTCCCTGATAGGACCCTTGAGCAGTCTTGTTCTGAAAATCATTTCTGAAGGTCTAACCTCAGGTTCACTGCCCCTAGGCTTTCTGATGATTTTGTAAGGATGCAACCAATTCTCTTTATTAAATCCTTTTCTGTTTAAAATATCAGACCACTTCTTCTTTCCTGCAACTAGATCCAGACAATAGATTGGGACATTATTTGCCTCCATATTTTAGCACAGAGGAGAGTAGTCTGGCTATGCGCTACACTTTCAAGCAGTGTGCTCTGGGGTACAAGCTCTGGAATAAGACCCCCCTCCTGTGAGAATTCTCCACACATTAACTGGGAGATGAGGGAAGTCATATCTCTATGCCTTAGTTTCTTTATCTGTAAAATGGGGACAGAGATAATATCTAGAGCTTATAAAGTTTGATTCAGAGTAAATAAAAAGATAATCCAAGAAAAATGCTTACAGCAGTGCCTGGCTTACTACAAGCACCAGACAAATTGATAACTAACAATAATAATAATAATAATAATAATAATAAAGCAAACCACTTTATTGGTCTTTTGGGGTTTTTTTTGGTGGGTACAGGATTTGAACTCAGAAGCAAACACTGCTTCTACCAGATAGAAAATGTGAATATTTTAGAATTTCATTACTACACACTTTCTTCTGGCCATCAGAATGCTAACAAAGGTGAACACAGAACTAAAAAATTTGACTGGTTCCACGGTATTTGAGTATCCAAAGAGAGACTGATCATTCCAAACTACACTTTCATCTGAGGGCGTGGCAAAGTTGTACTCTAACTAGTCAATGTAGACCTCACCCTAAGGAAGAAGTGTCCTTTAGAAGCCATATTTGCTCCAGACTGCAGTGGCTCACACCGGTAATCCCAGCCACTCAGAAGGTGCAGATTAGGAGGATAGACTGACCGATCAATCACCCTACACAAAAAGTAACTGAATCTAAAAAGGGCTGGAGATGTAGTTCAAGTGGTAGAGCACCTGCCAGACAACTATGAGGCCCTGAGTTCAAACCCCAGTACAGCCAAAAAGAAAAAGAAACAATGTTTGCCATTTCCTTGTTTCAAATGCTACCTAATTCATTATGCTCTAGGAACCAGGATGGTTGTTATTCAAATTAAGAAAGTGTTATCACAGTGTCTACTGTGATATATTTCATAAGAATGAGATCTGTATTCTGAGTGAGAGAGAGAGAGAGAGCTGTATT